CATATCCCTCTCTGTTTCTTTCAGCCAAGCTGAGATCTCTGATCCCAAAAATATTTTAGATAATCATGCAGTAAACTGCTTCAAAATACATGACCTCATGTTATAGCAGGTGTTTTGATGACAAAGGTAGAGTTTCCCTGATCATGTTTCTACCTGCAGTCATTGTTTTCACATTCCAGCAACAGAGTTCTCGTTAAACTTTCCCACCCTTCCTTAAACTTACAGTGGTGTGAAAACGTGTTTGCCCCCTTACTGATTTCTTATCTTTTTGCATGTTTGTCATACTGTAATGTTTCAGATCATCAAACAAATTTAAATATTAGTCAACGATAACACAAGTAAACACATCATGCAGTTTTTAAATGAAGGTTTTTATTATTAAGGGAAAACAAAATCCAAAACTACAAAGCCCTGTGTGAATAAGTGTTTGCCCCCTAAACCTAATAACTGGTTGGGCCACCCTTAGCAGCAACAACTGCAATCAAGCGTTTTCGATAACTTGCCATGAGTCTTTTACAGCGCTGTGGAGGAATTTTGGCCCACTCATCTTTGCAGAATTGTTGTAAGTCAGCCACATTGGAGGGTTTTCGGGCATGAACTGCCTTTTTAAGGTCATGCCACAGCATCTCAATTGGATTCAGGTCAGGACTTTGACTAGGCCACTCCAAAGTCTTCATTTTGTTTTTCTTCAGCCATTCAGAAGTGGACTTGCTGGTGTGCTTTGGATCATTGTCCTGCTGCAGAACCCAAGTTCGCTTCAGCTTGAGGTCACAAACGGATGGCCGGACATTCTCCTTCAGGATATTTTGGTACACAGCAGAATTCATGGTTCCATTTATCACAGCAAGTCTTCCAGGGCCTGAAGCAGCAAAACAGCCCCAGACCATCACACTACCACCACCATATTTTACTGTTGGTATGATGTTCTTTTTCTGAAATGCGGTGTTACTTTTACGCCACACATAATGGGACACACACCTTCCAAAAAGTTCAACTTTTGTCTCGTCTGTCCACAGAGTATTATCCCAAAAGTCTTGGGGATCATCAAGATGTTTTCTGGCAAAACTGAGATGAGCCTTTATGTTCTTTTTGCTCAGCAGTGGTTTTCGTCTTGGAACTCTGCCATGCAAACCATTTTTGCCCAGTCTCTTTCTTATGGTGGAGTCATGAACACTCACCTTAACTGAGGCAAGTGAGGCCTGCAGTTCTTTGGATGTTGTTGTGGGGTCTTTTGTGACCTCTTGGATGAGTTGTCGCTGCGCTCTTGGGGTAATTTTGGTCGGCTGGCCACTCCTGGGAAGGTTCTCCACTGTTCCATGTTTTCGCCATTTGTGGATAATGGCTCTCACTGTGGTTCGCTGCAGTCCCAAAGCTTTAGAAATGGCTTTATAACCTTTTCCGGACTGATAGAGCTCCATTATTGTCTTTCTCATTTGTTTTTGAATTTCTTTGGCTCTTGGCATGATGTCTAGCTTTTGAGGATCTTTTGGTCTACTTCACTTTGTCAGGCAGGTCCTATTTAAGTGATTTCTTGATTGCGAACAGGTGTGGCAGTAATCAGGCCTGGGTGTGGCTAGAGAAATTGAACTCAGGTGCGATAAACCAGTGGTTTGACAGGGGGGCAAACACTTGTTCACACAGGGCTATATAGTTTTGGATTTTGTTTTCCCTTAATAATAAAAACCTTCATTTAAAAACTGCATGATGTGTTTACTTGTGTTATCTTTGACTAATATATAAATTTGTTTGACGATCTGAAACATTATAGTGTGACAAACATACAAAAAGATAAGAAATCAGTAAGGGGGCAAACACTTTTTCACACCACTGTATATATATATATATATATATATATACACAGTGTATATACACTATATTGCCAAGACTAAGTGAAGTGCCTTCTGAAAGTCTACTAGATGATGTGAATGCAGCACTAAGAACAATCCCTTCTATGACCATCACTGAGACCAACAAGCTCATATACACCACAGCAACCGTGATCAGTAAGGGGGCAAACACTTTTTCACACCACTGTATATATATATGTGATAACTGTGTGAAAATCCACTTTACACCACTTTAACATGCTAATTAGTCCTAGTTACAATGTTTTAGCTAGGCTGAAGTGCACTGAAGGTCTCACATGGACTCTATCGTCTTTTTCTGCCCTTCGAATGTGTAACAGAGACCTGTCTTCTAGTGCATGTACTGATTTATTTGTGTTACACACAGAATAAACTCCTCTCCTGTGGATGGCAAATCCCTGTGCAACTCATCATTAAAGACACAACGCAGAACTTAGACTTGATGGCCGCATAGAGATAAGATCGGCTACAAACGCAACCCCAAAACATCAGTGACCCTCCATCATGTTTGACTCTATGGACCATGTTCCTTTCTTTGAAGGCCTCATTTTGTTTTCTGAAAACAGTAGAATGATGTGCTCGACCAAAAAGCTCTACTTTAGTCTCATCTGTCCACAGGACATTCTTGCAGGAGGTCTGTGGCTTCCTCAGGTCAGTTTACTCAAACTCCAGTCTGGCTTTTTTACGTCCCGTGTCAGCATTGGGTCCCCCTGGGTCTCCCACCATAGCGTCCCTTCTCATTCAGATGGGGACAGATAGTGTGAGCTGACACTGTTGCACAGTATATTGGCAGCACCCGTTGACTGCAACAGGTGAGTTTCATTACAAATTAAAGGAGTGTCACAGGGTTGAAATACAACTATTTCTGATCATTTTGAAAAGGTGTCAGCAATTCTATCCAGTCCATGTTTGGAGTTCTGTGTGGAATGAAGATTTGGCTTTTCCTTCTCAGATTTTTTGTTGCTCCAATGCAAACAAAAAATAAACACAAGAATATCAAGTAATGTGTAATTGCAACAATTTTCTGGGGTGTTATCTGACACACAATGCAGGGGTGCCAATATTTTTGGCCATGACTGTATGCAATAATATAGCACCTTAGGATTCAGGTGTCAACACCACGATGTTTACTTTTGATACAAGTACGTTTTCCTGATAATACTAGTGTGTATTTTGAGGGTGGGGCAGTTCTAGCTGCTAGATTTCTGCTTTGTTAGGAAAAGTGTTGTACTGAGGACAGTTTAGCAGAGTGCACACGCATCCTTAGTCCGGACACTGAACAAACACAAAGGAGTCAGCAACAGAACACACATTTCACAGCCAAAGCGTTTCTTCTTCGTTTAACACATTTTTGATGAGAGGAGCTGTTTCATGTCTGATTCTAAACCTCAATGGCAGAAACAAATACCGAACGGCTTCAAGAACACAGACCGGAGATAAAAATGCTCATGCAAGCTAAAAGATCTGCATTTCAGTGCGTCACCAAATCCAGAATTTTACTTTTAGCATTTTTGTTAATTGCTGTTTAACAATGTAAGGACAGAACCAAAAAGATAACAGACATAACAACGAAAGAAATTAAAGAGAGGATTTCCAAATGAAAAACGTGCCTTTGAACAATCATCCACAGACTTCAAGGTTGAACAGCTCTGAGAAGCCTTATAATTAATACTGTTGGCATTCTTTAATCATGCTGGTTAAGCATTAATGACTCTAAGATTCATTAAACTGAAGAACTCAATTTAAAGACCAGGTTTAAGTCACGATTTATAAAGAACCTGCAGGGAAATTAAAGAAAGAAGCAGAAAATATTTCCTCTTAAAGGACTGAAGTTGTTCTGTTTTTTTAAGGTCCATCCATTTGTGCACTGCTTTATTCTGCTGGACTGAACCATGTAGTAAGAGCTTCACATTCATACAGGCCACACTTCAGATGCCGTTTGTGTCAGTAACGTCAATAATCCGTCAGAATGATTTAAGTGGCAGTCTTAACATTTTCAGATCAATCCTGATCTGTTACTCTAGTTTTAACCTCTTTATCGCTGAAAATAATTCTGCCAGTTTGTAGCTTTACATTTTGATTATGTGATGACGTTCCTTTGTTCAATTAAACACAAAATGGAGTGTAAGGGGTTTAACAGAGGTGGTAACAATAAGTCCCTTAATCAATCCACAGAAATATAATTTGCAAGTACTTCTGTCATGAATTTATCTTTAAATTGCCAAAATGTTTTCTGGTTCCTGAACCAAGTGATCAATCAGGAACCTACAGTGGGTACGGAAAGTATTCAGACCCCCTTACATTTTTCACTCTTTGTTATATTGCAGCCATATGCTAAAATCATTTAAGTTCATTTTTTTCCTCATTAATGTACACACAGCACCCCATATTGACAGAAAAACACAGAATGTTTGACATTTTTGCAGATTTATTAAAAAAGAAAAACTGAAATATCACATGGTCATAAGTATTCAGACCCTTTGCTCAGTATTTAGTAGAAGCACCCTTTGGAGCTAATACAGCCATGAGTCTTTTTAGGAATGATGCAACAAGTTTTTCACACCTGCATTTGGGGATCCTCTGCCATTCCTCCTTGCAGATCCTCTCCAGTTCTGTCAGGTTGGATGGTAAACGTGGGTGGACAGCCATTTTCAGGTCTCTCCAGCAAAAAAAAAAAAAAAAAAAAAAAAAATTCAAGGACAGGACACTGTAGTAGATGGGTGATCTCTGCTGCTTGGCAATGTCAAATACAAGAAAAACACTCAGATCACCAGGTACTCGGTGCTGTTGTGTACATACAGCGGCCTCTGAATGCCTTTGGTATAAATGATCCTCCTAAAACACCACTGCATTTCGTTTGTCGAATCCATGTGGAGAGCATCCTGTAAAACAATTTCAACTAAATCTAAATCATATTAAAATTTCTAAAAATGAACAACATTACATTTTCTAAATATTAGACTGAGTGACAGTGAAAAGTGAAGCTACAATCTGCACGGCTTCCACAGGTTAGAACACAGACAAGTTCTCTCAACTTTGACATGTTTCCCGCAGTTGCCGCCATAACTTCATGGTGTTTTTAGTATCCTGATAGTATTTTGTGTTTTAGTAGAGCATCACTCAGTCAGCTACAGATTCTCACCTAAAGTTTTTAATGATTTGTGTGTGTACCTTTTGTCTTCCAAAACTCAGGTAAAACAGTCTGAGGCACCTGTTTAACACAATCTTCAGAGTTCAAAGTTTGTAAGTGACAGTAAGCCCGTTATAAGACTGCAATGACCGAACACAAAGACAAAACGGCATTTATCATGGTCGCTCATGATGGTCGCTACTTGTTCTGCACCTTCTTACCAACAAGTTATCACAATTCACTCTCAACAAATGCAGTGCTTCAAAGATATAAACATTTGTACAATCTTCAGAAAAAATCACATTGAATGTGCTCCACCTGTCTGGAAACAGTTCAATCCACAACAAACACCTCTCGGATAAGGTTCTTCTCTCTCCTCAGTAAAACCTTTTGTTCCTTTCCTGTCTCTTCTGGAAAACTACAGCTCCCACCACAGCGCACACTACAATTCCCAGCAGGGCACACAGCAGAAGCAGGAAGACCTTCCAGCCTGTGAGGGGTGTGCCACGGAAGTTTCCAGTAGGATCATCAATGTTGTCTGTGAAGGAAGAAGATCCACAGTCACTTTCATGTTCATTTCAAATTTGCTGCAGGTTTAATTTGTAGGATGATTTTTATAAAGGTTTATCTATTTTTTGTAATGGAAACTTGCTTATGGAGTGTAATAAATTATTCAGCACACTCAGGATAAAACTGATATCCTTTAAGAAAACTTGTACTCAAAAATAATTTACAGTCATGTTTCACACCTATAGGAGTGAGTATGAAGTCATGGATGAGATATTTTGGGTGGCTTATCCCTTTAATCTGCAGTACCTTTAGGAGACTTGAGGAAGCTGACGCTGGGCTCGATCTTGGTCCAGTCCAGGTTCTCCTCCTCAGGGGTGTGCTCGACCATCAGCTGGTAGAGCTTCATCGAGATGATGTCATGGTTATCTGGGACATTATAAAGAAGTTAAAACTGTCAATCAGCACTCGGGGGTAATGCAGATCATCACACACAGCTATAGCATCCAGTGTCTGGAGAGAAGACACATGGAAAATACAGATGCACTATTTTATCACATTCAAAACGCTGAATGGAATTTATCAATTATGTCAGAATGCTGGAGAGAATCTGATGAAAACCCTACCTCTGCTAGTCATAAATTTTGGTTGTGTATAGTATTAAAAGACATAATACAAACATTTCAGAAGTGGATATCATGACTTCTTTATTTTTGTAGGTGACCCAGCTCCGACGTACCAGACAGATCTCCTGTGGCTGCTGAGGCACCAAAGAAATATCCAGTAGGAAGACGAACGCCTCCGATATCAATGCACTCCCTCCATTCGTTCTTGTCATCCACATCAACCATCACCTGCAGAACACAGACTGGATGCAGTGATGCAGCATGTGACGTTCCACACAAAGTTAAAAAGCCATTTAAAAATCAGGAAGCAAGGCTATGAGAATTATTTGTGATAAAGAAAAAAATGCAGACAATAATGGGATTAAGGAAAAAACTGGGTGAAAAGTGAAAAGCTGTAAATGTTACAAGTACATAAATGGTGGTTTTATTATCATCAGGCTGTATTTTACTACACTAAATAATGATAATCATTTTTATTGGCCCAGTATGTTACACACACAAGGAATCTGTCTCCGGTACAAAACCGAGGCTGCCATCTGCAACGCCAGCTCACACACAGACACACCGATGACGGTGCTGTCCCTGCAGGGAGCTGCTCTGGCCATCGGGGGCAACTTGGAGTTCAGTATCTTGCCCAAGAACACTTCGACACGTGGACTGGAGAGAACGGGAATCAAACCGCCAACCGCTCAACCTCCTGAGCCACAGCCATTCAATGTGTGGGTTATAGAGCCTTGATTTTGTTTTTGTTTAGTTTTTAATCTTGTGAAGTACTTTGGTCAACATTCTGCTGTTTTTAAAGCGCTACACAAACTTTATTGGATTAATTTTTCCTCTACTGTGATCCTCAAAACACTGAGGTGGAAATGTTGAATGGCTCAGAGTGCAGTTCTTCTACTAACTGTGCTGAAATAAGAGAAGCTGTGTAGCTGCTCTGAGGAAATTCAAAGGCATTTCTGTACATACAGTGAGTCTTCCTTTGGAGTAGCGGATGGCGAGGTAGGTGTCATGGTCTGTGTTCCTGATCTCAGCCGAGCAGCCTCCCAGCTCTGACGATCGGCCGTCTTTGCCATGGTCATAGCTCACCGAGCCGTTGTTCACCGTGGCCGAAATATACGGGAAGGAACGCTGGCAACAGAAAGGAAAGTCTCAACACATCGGTCCTTAGAACAGCAGTTATACCCCTATTCTTAAATAAAGGGAATGGAAAAATAAATATGCAATACAAAATAAAATATAACAAGCCCACATGAAACTTTTCAGACCATATCACCCCATGTTTACATATGCATGAAGACTGCCTTCACACTGCAGGGGTTTTTAGGATCAACTCCTCATGCAGTCTGAATTAACTAACCAAACAAAACTACATACGTCTTGTGATTAATACAGATTCTTACAGTTTCCCATCCTACTGACAGCTACAAACACTGACAAACACTCATTTAAGTTTTCACAAGTCAAGTAGATGCCTCCAATCTGTTGAAGCACCATGTGACAATGTCTGATGTACGAGCTTTTTGTTGTTCACAGATTAAAAAGCAGGTTTGAATCGAATGAGGAATAAAAATGAAGTCAATTGGGGACCTGCAGTGTGAATGTAGTATGAGTCACAAGACAAGCTCTGGTGAAAGAAAAACAAAAAAGATCCATTACGACATTTTACAAAGCGAAGACGTGTGGCTGCTGCCAGACAGAGAACCACCACACTCAATAAGTTGTGTGATTCAATTAGCCTTTTGCTGTAGAAACAAATAAGTCTGTGGGGTTTTCAGTGTCAACATGCTTTAGGTTTTGACAACATACCAATTTAAACTGAAGACAGACAAAAATAAATTTAGACAGCATGCGAATGAGTAAAACCTGAGCACCACTCACGTCCGTCGCATCATCGTTAGAGTAAGTATCTATAAAAACGGCCAGCCCGTGGAAGACAGCATTGTCGGAAAACACAGGTCCTGCAAAGAAACAAGCCGGTCAATCACCTCAAGCCACACACTGCAAACTTACATCCATTCCATGGAGGTCATTGCGGAAGGTATCCAAAAAAATTGCCAGGCCAAGAAACTGATCTTGGTTTCCAAACACAGGGCCTAGGATGGAGGCAGAGATGAGGTGACACATGAGCAGACAACTCGAGACACTTTCCTGTGGACAGCACTGATGGCAGCAGGCAGATGATAAGACACAAAAATCTGGACATGAAAAACACTTTCTGATGGAGTGAGCAGGATGAGTGTGACAGTTTTCAAAGCAATTCCGAGAAGAGCATGGCAGCATGACTAGGACACGTAAGGTCAGGTGTCCCATGCCAGGATATAGTATCTTAAAACTGCAGTCGTCTACTTTGTGTTTCATAATGTAGTTGTTTTTAGTAAGGAAAATGTGATAGCACATGTAGCACATTATAACTGAGCTGTGCAATGATCACCAGTATGAATTTCAACAAGGGAAAAACACACCAGTAGGACACCTCTAAAGTGCCAGCGTTACCTGGATGCAGTCTGTCCTTTGTGTACCAGATTGCGATGCCATCACCATGGAGATTCTTCTTTCCTGACCCATGAACCTTGAACTGCACATGCATCTCCCAGTCCTTCAGGAAACAAGGCTGCACCACAGAAACCAAAACAGGATTTACTTTGTACAGCAGCTTCATAAACGTAGATTTTAAGGGTATTAGAGAAACCATAAATGGCAAAAAAAAGAATCACAGTCCATGGTAGGACTTTATTCCTTACAACTGATCATTTAAAGCAGGGGTTTTCAACTAATTGTCACCCAGAGACCACCATTCTCACAAAGAAATAACCAAAGGACCACTGTTGTGGGGTGGCCACAGCAGGTGGGAACTATTTTAATCCTGAAAAGTATCTGTGCTTTTCTAAATTTTATATATTTGAATGAATCTGGCTATTCACAAACAATAGGAAATACATTTAAAGTAGTTTAAAATAAAATTTAAAAAAATCCTGCTGTGAAACCACATTATTGATGATCAGGGACCACCTGCATTGCCTTTGTGGACCACCGGGGGCTGTGCACCACTGGTTGAAAACCCATTGTAAGTGGTTTAATTGGTGATCATTTTGCGTAACACATACAAAAATCTTCACAGGGTATTTTTACTACAAACACAATGACAACCCATCCAGCAGCACCAGACTGCTACAATTAAAACAATGTATTTTTTTATTTACTAGTCATAAAACCTTGGTGGATCATAAAACTCAAACAAAGGTCTCAGAAGTTACTGGAGTTAATTGTCTCTTAAATGCACCATTACAAGCAATAAAATGGCACCATTCGCTCTACAGCAGGGCTGCTGTGCTGGACACAGAATTACATTATGTTACAGATGAAACGGGTTAAGGAGAGCTGCACTGTGAGGGTGCACCTTTAAATTAACCTGATGGAAAAACCCAAAGCCACTGTTGCATGGGCCAAATGACTAAATGTCCAAGTCAGACTGGAGATCTGAGTTTTGTTTGTGGTCTTTCCTCACCACAATATTCCAGATGGATCCCTGCTTGCTTCTCTCATCTGGAGTGAGCCGGACATATGAGCTCGTCACCAACGTGCTTCCTGAGAAGTCCCACTGACTGCCAACAGCTGCGAGACAGAAGAAAGGACGAGTTGTTTTTCATAAATGTATGTCCTCAAGTTACTGCACAGGCACAACTTGCTTTTGGCTGATCTTTTACTGTTAGTGTTTTACTGTCATGACTGTGGCAGGTGGCCACTTGAACAATCCATCTTTATGTAGCATGTGTTGTCCTTTCCATATAAACACTATAACACCAAAGTGCTTTCAAACATCTGAATGAACATGATAGTTACATTTTCTGAAGTTCATTTCCCAACGTGGTCTATCAAGAAGCTCTGGAGTAACATTTCAACCTTCAGAATTAAAATATATAAGCAGGGATGTACTACAGAGCAGAAAATCTAAGAAGTTTAACTGAATCATAATCCTCAGCCTTAGGCCTTTATCATGTACAAATATCCACAGTGCATCTTTATATAAAAAAAAATCAAACAGGCAACAGTTTTAACACTGATTCTTGTTTAATATCTTGGTTGACTGACTTTTTAACAAACCAGTCTCAAAAAGTGAGAGTTAATGAAGTTGTATTTGATGTCCTTTTATCCTCCACTGGCTCCCCCTAAGGGGTGTGCTCTTTCACTGCTTTTATTTGTTTTATACACTAATGAGTATCAGAGCCTTTAAAAGGGTAGACATATAATTAGGTTTGCAGATGATTTTGTGACTGTTTGTACTCAACGAAGATGATCTTGACCATGGCCAAGTGGTAGATTATTTTAATGTTTGGTGTAAATGCTCTTTTTTGAACATAAATGTGTCAAAAGCAAAGGAAATTATTATAGTTTTCTGAAGGAAGCCTTTACCTGCCCCCCTGCACCTGCATGGTCAGGTTGTGGAGGTACTGTGTCCTTTACCTTTACCTTTACCTGTACTTGAAAAGCACACGCCCTAAGCAAACACTTCTGTATCCTGGATGCGTGTTTTAAAACACTGCAAAACCGCGTTTCAAGATCTTTCTAACAATGTCAACAACAAAATGGCATTATATATTATATTATGTCTGGACAAGTAGAACAAACACTAACATTTGCAAAGCACAGACACATGGTTTGCAAAGTAGTTACCAAATCCTCATATTAGAGAAGCTGAAAAGCAAATCATAAAATTCACATTTCAGCCGAGCAAAGTTTATTTTCTACGTTAATGCCTCATGCAAAGAATAATGAAGGTATGTAGTTGTTCTGTGTCTGAATACCTTTAACATTCTGAGCCACGAGTGTTTCTATATTTTTAGCGAGATACTAGTCACTCGTCTAACTTTCTCATGCTACACAGTCCTGACTGCTTACGTTACATGTTTTGACCCGTATTTGAAAGCTACTAATACATTTGTATGAGTGACTTATAAGACGACAGTCTATTCGCTTAATTTGTCAAATGTGGCAAACCTCACTTTAAAAAAACTTTTAAAACGTAGCACGAAGTGGAACAATGGACATACACGTTAGCTAGCGAGCTAACTGTGCTATCTTACCTTGATATGGTTTCATTAACGAGTGCTCTCTCTTCAGATGTTCTGCGTTTCCGTCCGTTATATCACAACACACCAGACACATCTTAAATATCAAAAAGACCAGTGTAGTGCTCAGAAATGCTTTAAAGTTTCCCATTGTGATTAAACAGCCTGCGAGAAAAACTCTCTAAACAAATTTACTGTTCGAAACTCCATAAATCGATCCGGTCCCTTCTCTATTGTCCTCCGGAAAGAACCCACATGACTGATATTTATTAAAGACCTTTCTATATAAGTATTTTTTCCTCTATGTATTTCTAAAATAATGCTCGTATAAAGACCAACATTTTAGCGGCACCAAAACGCTAACTTGCTCTATATGTTTTAATTGCGACGAGATAGAGAAAACATTCAACTTTGCGTGTTTCCACACGAAAGATTTTTGTAGACGGCATATTTTTGTTCCAGCCATTCAGAGACAAGCACATCGCAAATTAAACCAATCAGGGAGGAGTTGCTTTTCACTCTTTTTCCGCTAAATGGCGTCAGAAGGCAAAAAATAAAAACGCAAGAACTGTGGTCTGTGTAGTTTTCTAAGGTTCAGTAACGATACAGTGTATGAAGTGTATGAACTGTTACTCTCATACATATGAACTGCTAGATTCAGAAAATAGTTTCTGTTCCAGATAAAATGATCAAACGTGTGTTGCAGGAGGATCTTTCAATAGATGATGACACGTGATGTTGAACAGTAAAATGAATTTTATGCTAATAGCCTATCCACAATTCTCTAAATCTACTATTTTAAATACAATTTATACAATATCAAAGTCACAAATTAGCGTAGGCTCTATCACATATCTAATCCCAATATGCAGTAAAACAATTTGTGGTTTACCTCTAAGTGCTTAGTTTTCTCCTCAAGACATCAGGTTACATTTACTGGTCATTTTAAATTGGCTACAGGTGTGAAAAGTTGTGGTTTTGTACTGTGTGTACAAATGTGTTACCTGGTCATAAACTGTCAACCTGTTCCCCACCTATTGTCCAGTAGTAGCTAAAAGAGGCTTCAGTCCCTCATAGCCCTGCAAAGACTAAGGTAACAGAACTGATTTTATGCCCAGTGGTGTCAGCACAGAATTTTCCTGCACTATCTGCTGTGCATCTTAGCTGACAAGCTTCTGTATAGATAAAGATTAGTTTATCTGTAGACTAAAACTGTAACCCACATGAGCCAGGACAATAAAATATTAATATTTATGAATTACCATTTAATTTACTGCAGATGTAAACCAGTGGTTCTTATTTCTGTCTTTTGGAGAAACCAACAGTTCAGTCAGTTGTCATACTGCCTGCATCTCCTTCTCTCATTTCAAGGATGACAAATCAAACTACTCACTAATGTGTGTTAAGTTGACAGTAGAATACTCAATTTACTGAGCACACCTGGTATGTTTTTTGCAGTGCCAGTGAACACAGTGACGCATATATTTATACATGTCTCCTGTTGTCCTATTTAAAATGCACATTCTTTTTCTTGTTTTCTTTTCTTGTGGAAGCACATTGAGAGCCACTGTACTGTATGCTCAACATAGCTGGCCAATAAAGCTGATTCTGATTCTGATACACACAGGTATACACAAAATAAGGGCACCCGTAATCACATAGAGCTACACACCAGCAGAAAGACAAGCAGGTATTCAAAATAAATCAGCACAAAAACACACAAGGGTTAACAGAGAAGCCTGCAGTCCAAATACATGCAGCTGCTATAACAAGACACACACACACACACACACACACACACACACACACACACAGACGTAATGTGAATGTGCAGCAAAGGCAAACGCACTAATTTAAAAGACGAAAAAGGTAACAAAAATATATAAATCCACACATTTAAATCTGTGGTTTATGTCCAGTTGTAGTATGTCTGTCTATGTCTGCCTTAGTCACTTGTTTCTAGAAAATGTCATAATGTGGAATGAGACTAAACTTAATTAAGCAAGCAGTCCAACGTTCGATTTTTTTTTATCTGCCTCTCTCATTACCTCAATTATGCAATAAATGTCATTTCTGTTCCACTGCCAGCTCTGTGACTCACCAGTCTACAGGAAAAGCATTAAAATGGGCATTTAATAGTGCACTCTCCTGATTTTACTGGGAGGAAGCAGGTGAGGAGAGCAGATATTGTGCTATCTGGGGATGTGAGATTTTACAGACAGGTTACATTTGAGTGTTCCAGTGAAATTGTAAGCTTTTAAAACACTCTAATTCCATGTGCATTTCAGTGTTACGCAACACCAGCACACATGAGATGAACATTGCCCACAGAAGATGCTGCTGTATGCTGACATCCTTAAGTAAAAACACATGATTAATGTTATGGAACAGTCATGTTTAGGCACAATATAACTTTAGAGAAAGATCATGGTTTAGATTCAAATACATATTTTGTTAAGGATAGAAGACTTTTCTCGATTACCCCATTTGGGACTAAATGGTATAAAAAAATGGTTCGATAGAAGACTTTTATCGCATGGGTGGATCTGAGGGGTGGCCAGGGGTGGCAGCGGCCACTCCCAGAATTTAATTGGCCACCCCTGGTGTCACCCTTCGCAGGCAAAATATGATGCTTGTCAGTATTAATGAATGAAACATTCTTTAAAAACTGTGACAAATAGTTGCCTTAAATGAAACTAACACGTTTCTGGTGTTTTATGATTGATATTGGCCAAATTTGTTTCATTTTATATCACGCATGCAATGCGATATTTGTATTCATGCCTTTGTTTGTGTTGGTGTGGAGTACTTGGCATGATTTGTACCTGCTGCATATTTTAAATTACCTTAGTAAATGCCAGGAACCCATCAATCTGGCATGCTGCCTTTCACATCTGATCTAAAGGCATATATGCTGTTATGCATCACCATGCCACTGCTTATGTAATGGCAGGTGCCTTTTCACATTGTCATGCCACTTCTGATCTACAGTCATATAGAGCATTTTACATGGTGTGCCTGTTATTTTCTATTTATAATTTATTTGCAGGTACATTTATAAACATTTGTTTCTAAAATAATGCAATAAAATATATTGTAATCACTGCCTTTACCATATGGTATTGTATCAAAAGTGATCCTATGTTTGAAACAGATTACAGTCTGTGAGATAAAGAAAGTTAGAAAGTACTGTGTGTCTCATTTTTGTACAAGATAAACATTTGATTCTTAGTAATGTATGATTTTTTATTTCATAGTACAAGATGTACTAACCAGCAGCAGGGAAGCTGTTTTATTGCTTCACCTTCATCTCTGATCATACTCACATCAGCTCAGAAGACCCAGTGACCCAATGGAAATCCTCTGGTGTGTGACCAGCAATAATCAAACCCCTTTTAACTTTACTTGTCAGTCTTTGCTCTTTTTTTGTCTGCAAAGCCAACAGTTTACTACTGCTACTACTTGGAAAACACATGAACTGTCAGTTTTCGGCACATTTTTTGGTCTGTGAATAATTTTTCATTTTTGCAACGAAGTAATGGAATGAAAGTGAGCAGCCACACTGAGCTGTTGATGAAGAGCTGCAGGTGAAAAATCTCCAATATGTAAAATAGGTAACAGTGTCTAAAACAGGTAACAAATTCATCATGCCACGGTGTTGTGAAGAAAACTTCTCATGCCATGTACAGCATTAAATCAGGTTGACTGTACTGCAAACAGATGGATCCTCTTCTGTTGTATTTCTGACAAAGTAGCTGCTTAGAGATTGTTTGCTGTAGTATTAAACCATATTTGCGGTTACCACAGCAACCTTCTGGCCAAATCTCCCTCGTAATGTCAAAGCTGGCAGCCTACAATTCTGTCCTGTTGTCCAGAGAGCAGCACCACTGGTTAGTCCTGTATAAGGGAACCACTTTCTGTGATTAGTTTTTTCCCCAGTGGATCAAATGATTTAAGTCACAACCTTCCAGTCACAACCTGGTATCTGTATCCCCGAGGTCACTGTCGTCACTGTGGGTCACTGTGAAATGACCCAAACATGTTGTTCGGGTTCCTCATCTGATTTGGACCATTGTACATCTGATGGGCAGATTGGTCCTTTCTAATGTGGATCAGATGGAGCCAGATGGCGTTGTGGTTCAGTGGATATGGGTGCTGCAACATGCCCTTGCACAGAGTGCTCAGCCAGCAAGAGACAGGACAAACAGCAGACCCTAGAAAGCAGATAAAACATTTATTATCAGCTCTGTGTGTACACATCTATAAGTCAGTCACTTCACTTAATCTGGGGCTTTACAGTCCATAATAATCAAAGAAAACAAAGTGAAAGACAAAAGACAGAGACTAACAAAACAGGGGAAACATGAAAACAGAGCATACTCATCAATTGTATGTGCACCTTTAGCTGTGATTTCCAATAACAAATCTGCCCCTAACCTTAGCAGTTTTGTGTATCACCAGCACCACCCTCCTGCTGGTGCCATCATTAATCTGATGGCAGTTATGCATGCTCGTCTCATGTCTGGATAAGCACTGTAGTCACTTTTCTGTAAAAATCCCAGGGCCAGTGATTCTAGGTCAAACCTAGAGCCATGCATCACTTTCAACATGATAGTTGAGCACAAGGTGAAACATGCAGAGAGAAATGCACATCTTCTAAGGCCGCTGTAGTAAATGTAGTATCCCTGTCATAATGACACAGGAACAAAATCAGGTTGTAAACAAAGAAGGGTAACGATTTCTACTCATATCAGATCAGAAAAAAACTATTTTTCCCTTGAACTGTAATTAGAGCAAAAAGGTAATTTGTTATTCAGTGCTTGTGCATGTTGGACTTTATGAAAGAGCAGAATTTACTCTCTAGTCATTTAAATAATGAAAATGACGTGCAAAATGCATCAGTGAATTAACTGTGAGAAGCGAGTGTCCCTCAGGCTCATGATGATCAATAATTAAGGAGTGATTCACTGGTAAAATAAGCCCGGGGAAGGACAAAAAAAGGTTTTCCTCCTCATTATTATACATTCTCTGCTATCACACAGCTTCTTCCATGAATCTTGTCATGTGTGCATAAATTCATGAGGAACATTAAAGAGCCCATGGTGCTTTTCCTTGTTTTTTCACTTATCTACAATGTTATGACGGTGAATTATCATCTTAAAAGTGACCTAAAGCTCAAAAAATGAGGTGCATGTATGTTCTAGTACTTCTATGCAGAAGCAACTCAGCTTATGCAGGTCTCAAACTCTAGCTTGTGAAATGTTGTAAGGCCAGAGAAATTACTATGTCTGCATTAAGTCTGCTTGTATTCATGATCTTATTCTTTTGGTCACTACCCACAGTTCGTGGCCATTGGTGAGGTTATCTAATGTTATTCTGGTTTTATAA